TAGAATGAAAAGAAGAAAAATAAGTTTTGTCAATCATTTGCCATATTAGTGGTCCTTCTAGAAATAAAACTATTTTGTTCCTCCCCTAAAATGGTATAGAATCTCTTAAATATTTAAATCTGGCATGAGCAGCTTAATTGTCAATAGACAAGATCTATTTTAATCCAAATGCAAATCCATGAAAAGATGGAATGAAGTAGAAAGGCAGCCAGCCAGCTGTTCAGGGCCTGACCCCACCCTGGTTTTCCCTGACCAGTGTATGAACCTTGGGTAAGGCCAACCTCACACAGAAAGGGGGTCCAAATGTCCACCTCAGCCATCTCTCCCAGGTCATTGTGAAAGTCAAACAGAACGGTGTTGTGTATTGAAATTCTTTGGGACACTTGAACAGTATACAAAATGTAATTTTTGTTCTTATCAGGAGTTGCTATCTTCTTCACCAGTAAGGAATTCTCTCTTTAGGGTTCTTTTTTCTTGGCCTGTGATTTTTCTTGACCTGTACTTGGTGATATTTCTCCATGAAGTTCTAACTCTGCTGTGTGTGTGTGTGTGTGTGTGTGTGTGTGTGTGTCTGTGTGTGCATGCGTGAGTGCGTGTGTGTGTGTTTGGCTTGATATCCCAATGAATCTATTAGCACGAACCATTTCTCCTGAAATCATTATCATTGCCCCAGAGTAATGGAAATGTTACCTGTCCTTCTTTATTTGTTGCAAAATTTAGAGACAAGGAAGAAGACCGTATATGTTTTCTTAAAATCAATGACCAGCACATTACTGTAAAACCTATTGATTAAAAACACAAAGTATAATGTTAGTCATTTAGTCTGTGAAGTGATGCAATAAGAGAAGAAATTTATCCTTTGACTTTTGCATTAACCTTTTATTGACTGCTTGCATACCCATAATTAACACACACTTTAGCTAAAGTGGTTAATTTTAGCATGGCGACCAATGTCCACTAATGTAGCTGCAATCTTGATCATCCAAATGTAAGTGCAGCCCTGGGGGAAATCAGTAGGCAGCGAGGCCCTGTATGAGTTACACCTTGAGGTGGAGGCTGCAGGGACCTCTGGACAATCTGCTAACAGACCAACCCGTGTGACACGTCTCAGTCACTTCCTGGTCTGTCGATAGGTTATTCAGGCAAAACCATTCCTAAGTAGCAAACAGTTTTGTGGGTGGCTTATGGAGTCCTTTGAATTGAAATAATATGAATGTGGAAAAGCAGTACTTCGTGAAAGGGACAGCATTTTCCAAATAGATCCAAATTCATTGGCTAACCCTACAATCATCAGGAAAAATCCGGTTTCTCTTCAGAAGAGTAGTGAGGACAAGGTGGAAAGGGGAAGCTATAACTTCCTTGCTAGGCTCAGTAGGACAGGAGAATGATACTAAATTGGGGTCTCTTTTCAACATTTTTTATAAAGAGCCTCCAGTTGGTCATGAAAACTGGCTTATTTCCTGCAAAAGCCATGGAGGGTGGCACTGGCATTCCCTTGGCTTTTGAACCAAGTGGAAATAGAATTTGAACCAAAGATGAAGGTCAGTGTTTTTATGCTGTCAAACTCAAGTAATCTCTGCACACATTGTACTGTGTTGGCAGTGCACCAGATTCATGGCAGGGCCATTGCCATGGGTGTTGTAACAGGTAGACAAAATGGAGAGGTAGGAAGCATAGCCACCATGTCAGCTAGGATTCTTCGGGTTGCAAGTAACAGAAAAGCCTAACTCAGGCAATAAAGTTTGACATAGCTATTCCAGCAGTATCAGCCAGACCCCTGCTTCTTGGTGCACGGTAGAAAAGAATGACTATGTCTTGAAGAGGGGGGTATGCTTAGCTTAAGAAAGTCAGGGTTCTCCCTGTCCTCAGATGTGGAGCCCAGACCACATGGCTAAGTACAGGGAAGGGATGGATTCCCCACAGGAAAGCTAAAATCCTGTTAGAGGGGATGGAAGGAATAAATACAAGACAACAAATACCTACCACAGTCAGCCTTAGGCTGCTGTTGACCTTCTGACATAGCATCAAAAGGAGGATCATCTTCAAGTGACTTTAGATCATGAAACTTGACAATTCTGGGTGGGTAGCATATACAACACAGTTACACTGGACAAAGGCGTGACTCACATCCTGTGCAGGATGGAGCTGGATAGCACAAGGTCTCATCCTGCTACTCAGAACAGCACACAATTTAAAACTTACAAAGTGTTTATTCCTAAAAATTTCCATTTAATATTTTCAGACCATGTTTGATTATGGATAACTGAAATCACAGGAAGCAAAACCACAAAATAAGGGGGTCTACTGTATTGTCATCATTATCATTACTATTATCATACCCACTTACAGACAAGAAGCCAAGGCTCATTAAGTTAAAAAATACTTCTTGCCCCAAATGCCATGTCCTTCCGGGATCCCAGAGAACACACGGTCTATAATCGACCTACTTTCCCCATGTCAGGACATTGAGATCTAAAAAGGCAGAACAAGGGAATTGAGCAAGATGAGCAAGAGAAATCTTGCTCAAACCTAAAGAGGATCATTCCTTCAAATCATTCTTCAGCCCTTTCTTTTCCAGTTCCATGGCCTGACATGATTCTGAATCAAACAGCATAATCTGAGTTGAGGGCGTCTGTCCATTCCCAGAAGTAAATAAATACATCACCTCAAACAATGAGCCCGCTCCTGGACCCTTCCACTATCATTTGGAAATTGTCAGGGCACACTAGGCATTAAAGGAAGAACTTTAAAACAATCTTGAAATTGCCCTGAAGACATCCAACAAAGAGTTCTCATCCAAACCCAGATGCAGGCAACAAATACATGCAACTAGGGTCTGCATGGGTAGAGGTGGCTCCCACCCCAGCCATCCTTTGATGCAAGGGATGTGGCAGACAACTGGGGAACAGCTTCCCTGAAAGCAAAGCCAGTGGCTTTGGGAAGCTTGTACTACAAGACATAAGCAGACCTCTGCTGCAGATTTTAATATTTTTAATACATTCTCAAAGTGTGAAGGCAAAACCATTTGACAGGTGAAAAAGCATTTCTATTGACTTTTTGCACACCTTATGATATTCTAGGTGGATCGACACTTATCATAGGCCTTTAATCTGTCAAGCAGGATAATGTGTGCACGGATAATTTATCCACTCTGAGATTGAAATGCTCAATTTGGAATAACTTTTCCTCGCCAGTAAATTGAGCATCACTCAACAATTCTGAGGCAGAGAGAAAGCACAATTCAAAAAGCTTTGCAGAGTTCTTTTGTAATTAGTCGCAGCTTCCCTTGAATATTAATTTCCCCCTCAGCTCTTTCAAGTGATTTGGAGACTGTCACTGGAACTATGGTGAGGCATCTTGAGCAAGGCCAGCACGCGGCGTGGTCCCCAGCACCTATTGTGAAGTAGTCTGCAGAATGCACCCTCTGTCCCTCAGTGTATGCGTGCTTATCAGCGCAAACAGTTTAATATTTATGCTAAGAGGATTGTCAGAAGCAGCTTCTGTTGCTTTAATTCTTGTTTTAAATAAATAATGAGAACATTTAAACACATTACTCTTCTTGAGGCCCTGAGGTCAGCTAATCTTATTATTTATGAAGTGATGTGCTACATAATAGTACTTAGTGCATGTTAACAGACGCTATTATCAGGGCCTGATGCGGAGAGCTGAAGATATATTGGAATGTTATGTGTAATGTACAACGGATTGAGTGCGGAGGATGCCGGTATAGCAATTAACCACATGCGAAAATAGGTGTAAAGTTGAAGTATGTTTTCCCCTGGGGATCCCCTCACCATTAATAATTCCCCAGAGAAGGCGATGTCTTTTAGTTAGGAACCTTCTCTACCGTCAGGCTTAGAGTGGGGCTAGGCTATCCTATTCTTTGACCCCTCCACAGTCACTCCTGTACAGTCAGAGGGTGAACAGCGGCTATCAGCCCTTTTTAATTGATCCAGAGCGAGGATCAGGAAAGGCCAGGGTAGGGCAGCTTTGTGACTGACCCCTCCAGGTGTGGTCATAGCATTTGATCTGGGCACACACTTTCACTCTGACTGCCATGCCCCCTCTCCGAGAGAGAGTAAAGAAATTGTTCATTCCTTAGTACGATTTGTTTCCTTTTCTCTGATTTTCATTTTTCAGATAAATAAAGCTAATGCCACTGAGCTCTCCCAGTCCAGTATTAAATAAACTAGACTCTGGGAGGTAGATTCCTGCCAAGGTATGATGATGTTTTTCCAACTTTTTTCCTATGAGGCTATAATTTAGCTGCGTATGATAATTAATTTCTCTACTATTGATGAATAATCCATTTAATAAAAACCATGATTTAAGTGTTTTCCTTAGGGACTAACTCTTGCTAGCCTCTTAATTTAATTTTCTGGAAGTTTCCCCCACCTATTCATCAGTGGAAATGATTATTAACCTCTATTTGCATATATCCTTATAAACCAGTCTCTCCTTGGAGTGCCTTTTCGTGAGCACAGCAAGCTGGGACACTTGTAAATCTCTAGGATCTCCAAAGTCAATCCCAGTCTGTAATATTGTTTAATCTATTCTCGGATGTTTTAATGCAGTAAATTCAATTTAATCTTTCCCAGTAATCTAGTAATACATCGAAACCCACAAACATTTAAATCTGATAATGGCTTAATCACACACTTTAAATAACAGTTGAGATAATGAAAAAATAATTCACCATTTTGAAGGCAGAGTAACTGAATTTCCCTGATGATTGGCTTTTTTGAAGTCACTTGAGATAATACAAACCTGGGAATCGAAAAAAAAAAAAAAAAAGCCCAGCCCAGTAAGGAACAACTCTTCCTTCTTATAAACACCCATTTTCTGCCCCTACAGTTCATTCTTCATGATCATCACCGTGACCTTCAACAAAGAAGGCTGTTTTAAGAGCATTTTTCAATATTGGCTTCTAAATTTGCCATGAACTTGGCTCTTCTGGACTTTTTCCCCAGTGGATTAATTACCTCTTCTTATACTTCCAGGTGCCAGTCCCGAGTTGCCCGAACTTTGCCGGGGGATCAGAAACCAGAATGTTGGCCATACTGGGAGAAGGATGATCCCTCAATGCCTCTGCCCTTTGATCTCACAGACATTGTTTCAGAACTCAGAGGTCAGCTTCTGGGAACCCTAGAAGGAGCACGAGACTTGGGCAGAGAGGGAAAGATATCTGGCATTTTTTTCTCCAACCTTACCACAGGCTTGGGTGAGGGTAGACTTGTTTTGGCCCTTGTCCCCGTTCAAAAAGCTAGGGAATGGTACCCATAAGCATTAAAATGTTGAAAATGACACGGTGTTATAGTCTGACTTAGGAACTTTCCCTCAGAATAACTTGCCATTCAGATTCGTTCATGGGAGCCCTTCAGCCCCCAAGGGCCCAGCCTGTGACAAAGTCTCCTTCGTTCCCCTTCACCAGCCTCCGCCGAGTCATAGCAGACCCAGTAGCAGGGGAAAGAGAGTTTGGAGACATCAGACAGTCATCCCAGTCTCCCACCATGCCCTGTTGTACCTGTGCTATCCAACATGGTGTCCCCAGCTAGCTGTAGCTATTCTTAATTTAAGCCCACTTTTAATTTTAATGAAAAGTTTGTTTACCCACATGCTCTGGCCACATTCAAGTGTTTAACGGCCACATGTGACTGCTCCTGTGGACAGTGCAGCCGTGGGGCATGTTCATCACTTTAAGAATTCCTCGTGAATGAGATGTCTGTAAAAAGTCCAAGGGCAGTTCCTGTAGTTACTATTCCCATAAGGAAAAGAGATGAGAGAGCAGTGTCTCTCTGAAGACGAGCCTCATTCCCATCTCTGAGACAGAGCTCGGTAGAAACCCGCACCCGGAACCCTGTACCCAGGAGTGGGGAGGTGCTAATAAATAAAACAAAGCTGACAGCCTGTCTTCAGGGAGTGTCCCTAGTGATAGGGACAGAGACCTATTCCTGTTTATACTGCTTCGTGGATTTAACCAGCACGGGACAGTTTTTTTCCATAATTCCCCCTTCCTAGATAATGACAGGTGGCAGTGAGGTTCGAACAGCCCCGGTGCTTATCCCAGTGACATTGGAGCCAGAAAGGCCGTGCAGAGTGGAGGTTAAACCCGGGCTCTGGTTTCAGGGTGCCAGGACTGAGACTCCCGGGAACATGTGACCTTAGCAAGTTATTGTGCCTCAGTTTCCTCTGCAGTATGCTGAAGACACCACCTCCTTAGATGCAGATTAAGTAATCCAGCTCCATACTAGGACACTTCCTGGCACAGCGTTAAATACCAGTGGATCTGGCACTGTTATGTTCTAGTAAGCTGAGCTGGAAGGGGACACTTTCCTCTTCGTCCACCTTGTTCTGATTTTGTCTCATGCCACCATTAGTACGACTCTCACTTTCTACCCTGGTGTCCCCAGATCATGTGAGGACCCTCAGCCCCCTGTCTTCTCTTGTCTCTGTTGAGTAGCGTGGGAACTCTCACCCATGGTGCTCTAACCCACCTTCAGCATCTCACCGCTCAGAGAAAAGTTGTGTTCACAAAGCACTCAGGTTTTTATTGTGTTGAGATTCGAATTTCTCAGACCTTAGATTCCTTCCTTCATGTCTGAGCCTCAGCTTCCTCATCAGTGAAGGCAAGGTGAAGTGCTACCTCTAAAAGTATTAAATGGAATAATTAGGTAAGGAGTACATGGCATACAGAAGTCCCAGGCTGGGCCTCCTACATTGGGCCATTTAGCCCAGGGTTCTGTTTGGCTCCCAGGACATTTGCTCTTTGTTGTATTTCGTTAGATACCAATGTCTTAAAATCGGGAGATTTCACATCAGATTCAAATGTCTCTATTTGCTTTAGAACTCAGAATATCCGGCAGTCCCGGACCTCCATCCTAGCATGGCAGCCCACCAAGCAGCGTCTTCCGGCTCAGAAGCAGGCTGTGGCCCCCAATGGTTTGCAGCAGATCCCATGGCTCCCATTACCACTTATTGCAGACCTGACCTGCGTTGCACCTCCATGCAGGAGCTTTCCAGACTTTGTATCCCTGTAGGAGAAATGAGTAACATTTGTGCTCACCCCAATCTATATGTACCCTTGCTGAACTGTACCCGTGAACTGCTTGTACTAATGCCATGTGCATCATTAAACATTTGTATACAATAAAGATATTAAAATGATAAGAACTAAGCCAGCACACCAGCGGATGGACCTGCTTTGCTGGTATGGATGGGGTCCAGGTGGATGGAGGGAATTCTCAGGTGCAGCGGAATTGGAGGAGCCCTCCCCTTAAATGTCCAAAAGGCAAGGTCAAAGTTTTTAGAAGAAATGGTGGCTTTTGGTCAGCTCCCTAGGGGGGTTCATGTGGCTAGAAAGACAGAAAGCAAGAGACAACAGAAAGACAGCTGGCAGGGCCATGAGCACCAGCTCATGGGCTGCAGGCTGCAGAAAGGCCTGGTTCCCCCAGTGAGCTGGGCAGGATTCTCCTGGGAACAGGGGCACAGAGCTCCTCAACAGCTGTAGGGATGAGTGTAGAAGAGGAAGGGGAAAGCCTGGCCCTGGACTACTTTGCATCAGCCCCAGCTCTGCCTGTTTTGTGCCAGACTGCCCTGGTCATCAGCTCCCTGCTATCTTGAGAAAAGTGATCCTAGAGATCCCTTTGTACCTAGATGCAACTGACCTTCCTTCTGGATACCTTAGCACTATGGAAATCCATGGAATCCAGGGACAAATTTCTGCCTTCCAGAGGCTTCCAGGCTCCTAGAGTGCCAGGAATATGTAGTGATGACAGTAGGAGCTTAATGCTGTCAGGGGAGACAGGCCAGCAAATAAAGGGCGAGATCATTCCAGGTGGACCCAAGTGCTAGGCAGGATATTGCCTAGCTGGAAGATGGAGGAATCAGTTTGTGACCATTGACCAAGGAAGGGCAGAAGGCCAGCCAATTGGGGAATGGGGTTGTAGGGGAGAGCTTTCCAGAAGGAACAGCTGACACAACGGTCCTGAGACAGGGAAGTGCTCAAGGAAGGAAAAGGGCCCTGATGGGCTAGGCAGAGAAAGTGGGGAGGAGCCCTGGAGATGGAGAAAAGCCAGGAGCAGTGCCTGGGTTTTCTTTCACTGACCCTAAGAAACAGCTTTTACATAGGGACAGCAAGGAGTAACTTGAAGCACATTTTTTTTCAGCTTTAATTGAGTTCATTGGTACATTTTAGGGATACAGTACAGTTACATTCATCGTTGGGATCTTGTACCTCTACATGACAGGTCTTGGTTCTCACTTTTTCCCCTTGTCCCTGCCCTCCCTTCAACCCCTCTTGAAGCACATTTTTAAGTTCTGGCTACTACCTGGATTGCAAGGGTTTCTGAGGGAGCAGAGGACTCAATCCAGAGGAGCCCCTTTCCAGTTGGGGATTCCCCGTCTCTGTGGCAGGGCTGTTGGCCCAAGAGGCCTTGCAGGAACCTCCTGTTTGCAGAGTTCACACTGAGCAGCACCTCCTTGCCACCACCATGTGCACTCCCACAAGCACCCTCCAGCCCAGGAGAGTTCTCTAGACAGAAAAGAGCAGGGTCACTGCATCATTTGTGACACGAGTTTAGTAATAAGCTTCTAAATCCATCACTAAGTCAATCGAGGAATGCTGGAAATGAGATTCCATAGGCTCTACTTAATGGAGGCCTCGTGCTAAGGAGAAGAGTGTGTGTTTCCAGGGCGGGTATTTTCAAACGCAACTGTTTTGGATTTTGGTGGGTTATTTGTTTGTTTGTTTGTTTGCTCTAGTTAAGGCTGATTTTACCACTGGGCAGATTGCATACATTTGGATCTATGCCATGCTAAATACTGTTTGTTTTGGAGATCTGTCAGAGGCAAGCGCATGAAAGACAAGGGGATTCTGATTTGAAAAGGCAATCCTCATTCAGACAGACCCAGTTGGAGCAAAGCAGTGTGCATTAAAATGCGCTGAAGTGGTAATGCCGTTTATCCAGATTGCCTTTGTTACGTTGTGATTAACTGGTATTTTTAATTAAGTTTCATTGGGAGCCATAGGTATCGCGGTGGTGAAATCAATTTGACAACCATAAAGGGGGCGGGAAGGCACAGGCGTGCTGTAATGACTGCGGCAGTGGGGAAGACGGCAGCTTTTAGGGGGCAGGGTGGGAAGGTGGGAGAAGAGCCGGCCAGTAATGACTTCCTGCAGTGGGGAAGCAGGTGTCTGGTCGTCAGGGAAAGGAGAACTCACTGGTTCTCTCACTTGCCTGAGTGACCCTTAAATATTCGGGGCCTGCAGGGGCGAGCCTGAGGGTCTGCCCAGTCCCCGCACCTCCTGGAGGGGTGTTGTTGCTTCCAAAACCGTCCTGAGGGGTGGGGGTGGAGGTGGGGGTATTCTCACTGTTTTAGTTCCCACACCCTGAGGAGAAGCATGTTCTTCCTGGTATCTGGCCTAAATCATTTTTTAATAATAATAAAAAAAGAGTCTCTTTGCACCTGCCCCAGTCTTGTTTTGTTAACAGCCATCAGATTTCTCAAATCTGATTCCTGAGTGATAACAGAGGTTTCTGGCTGCAGATTTTCTGGGTCTGTCCTGGTGCTCTGTATGACCCTAAAGCTATCGCCCCTTCAAACCTCTGCCCCCCTTCGTGTGTGCGCACGTGTGTGTGTGTGTGGTGTGTAATGGAATCCAGGGCCCTCATGCTGAGCTACATCCCCAGTTTCATCACACCCACCCCTGCTTTTTTTATTATTTTAAAGCAGGCTCTCCCTAAGTTGCCCAAGCTAGGCTCAAACTTGGAATCTCCCTGCCTCTCTGTACAAAATCCGAGTCTACAAGATTCGAGTAATGTAACATCTAAGAAGACTACCGTTTCTTCTTAGAGAGTCATGTAACTCCCACCTAAGGTGGCTGTGGAGATAGTCTGGGTGTATAGATACTTCTAAGCTGTGCCTGGCATATGCAGGTCTTCAGTAAATCAGCAGCTATTATTATTAACCCAGTTTCCTGTGATCAGAGTTGGAGCTGTGGGAGTTGGGCAAATGGCTTCACCTCTCTGTGCTCTAAGCCATTGAGGTCATGGAGGAGATAAGACCTTCCTGGCTCGTCAGATTGCTCTGTCCCTCGTGATTGTGCATGTTAAGTGAGTCCCATTATATCTGGTACTTAGTAATCACTCGATACATATAAATTATTGTTATGATCAGTGTTGTCTCGGCTGAAATACTGGATAGTCACCGAAAAAGACTGCAGACAGCTATGGGTTAAGCAGAGAAGCGTATTACCAGCACGTCTTACTCCACTTACTCTTCAGAGCTCCTGTTTTTTTCTAGGCAGATGGCCTGGAACTTTTTATAAATAAGGTACCATGAAAAATGGTTCCTTAGTACTCCCATTAGTATAGCAGGATTAGGTCACCCTTTGCTATTTCAGATTTGCTTACCATCACCTTCTAATGGATGATCTGTGTACAACAATTGTTTATTGACTCCAAACGTCTGAGTAGTAGGGTCGGTCTGTTTCAAGGGGAGGGAAGCATTAATTAACTTTCAGCATTAGATTCAGTGATTCTTTTCCAATGATGCAGTTCACGACTTTGTTCACATTTACTTTTCATCAGTCCTGAAAGAATCTAGGTAAAATAGTTCTTCCACATGTGTGTGTCAGGCTAAATGGATCACAGCAGATACAGATCTGTTTGCCTGTCTGCACTTGCCTTTAGACAAAATTCATCAGTTTTACAAAAGCCACCCACCAAACATGGCACCAATACAAATGAAGTGCTTCAAGCACTCGGCTCTTCCCTTTGTTTCTGATCTGTATATGCAGTAACTTCCTGCTGAGAGATGGGAAATGTTGGCCTGGGACAGCACTGTGCCCCAAAGATGGGGACAAAAGGTCAAGGCCGTTCAGGATCCCATGTGTTCAGAGCAATTCTGACCCTCTTGGTTGGTGACTGTGGTGACAAATCTCCTCTACATGATCCTGCTTGGTGTTAAAGCTCAAATGAAGACCACAGATGGTCGCTGCCGCCTTCACAATGCCAGTATCCTGCTTGCCTTTCCCTGCTGCTGAGACACAGCGAACCGAGGGTCTATGAGCTGGGGAAGCTGCATAGGGAAAACTCACCAGCACTGTGCACTCTGCGCCTTTTCCCCAGCAGAGACAGCGATGGGAGGTGGTATAGACACCCACATCCTACATAGGTCCAAGGGAGGGGGAGTGCAATGACTAATCACGGTGGAAGTAGTTTGACTTCCATGGATAATGGAAAAATTTCTGCATGCTTATCACTTCTGATGCGGCAAGGCAGGTCTGATCCAGGAGCAGCATAATAGCTCACTCCTGAGGCTACAAGAGGCAGCCAGAGCACCTCTTGTACAAGAATAGTCACAGGCCTCCACTTTCATTTTTTTCAGATTCCACAAGCCTTTTGAAAAATGCCAAACCTGAGTGGAGGTACGTCCAGCACCTCGTAAAATGATCTGGAGCCTCATGTACGTGGAGACCATGCTCTCCTTTGCTTTTTTTTTTGCAAAACGACTGCCTCCCACTGAACAACCCAGCTTTCCTTTCAAATGAGGGATTTGGTTCTTCATTTTGGAGCAAGCATAGTTAACCTACCAACCCCAGAGCCCCACAAGGGATGAATCAATTTCTCAGAGCAGCGAAAGCTACCGCTGGTAACTCATCCAACACAGAAGACTGGACCTCTGGTCACCCTCCTTCCCCCTCTCCCCCAACTCTTCAGACAGATTTCCACTTGATTATGCCTTGATTGGAGTCGGGACAGAGGCAAGCCAGGTATATAGGATTCCCATTGTCCTCCTGCCTCTGCTCCCAAACAGGGTCAGGCTGAGAGGGGATCCTGGTGAACGTGAACAATCAAGCCCTGTTTACTAGGGAAGTTTAGTTTTCTTTTCTCAAAATCAAAACAGAGTTTAGTAGGCAGCATATTTCATACATGCCCCTTGATCAATGGAATGATCTGTCAGAAGCCATTAAAGCCCCCATTAGCTTGAATGCATTCAAAGCTAAACTATTGGATCATTTAAGGGCCACAGTGATTGTTTTTAATATACTGTACATTGATTTTGCCCTGTGAGCAGCAGCATAAGTTTGAAACTAACTGTGTATGACTAAGGCTCCATTTGCTGTCTCCAGCCCTTGGTGAGAAGCATGGTTTCTCTTCGAGCAGAAACGTCTGAGCCTAGTTTTCAAAGGGCTGCAGACCTTGTTAGATTTCCCAAGGTTTAGACTGGGTTGAGCTGTTTTTTTGTTTTTTTTGTTTTTGTTTTTTTTCCCTGAGCTTTCTCCCATTTCTTTGTGTCCATTAAGTGAGCCGGGCGTGCAGAATGGGACAGGCATCTCTGCCAAGGACCTCAAATGAAAGGCAGTGGGGGAAATTTTTCTGAAAGCATGAAGCCCAGCTGAGGCCAACACCAAAGTGACTTTGACAGCCTTGGGCCAGCAGAACCCTGGGCCCAGCATGATGCAGCAGGAGCACATCTGCACCAAGCACAGCCTGTTGAGCTGAAGGTACTGTTAAGCCACCAGGTACAGAAGCCGGCTGAGGCAGTGGAGTTGGCCGCCATATTGCCAGCTCTTGGCGGCATTGACTCTTTTCAGCCTCAGCCAAAAAGGTTTCATCCAACAAATACTTGATGCCTTGTTCCTCAGTATTGGATCTGTGCTAGAAATATCAGGTCCCTGCCCTTCAAATCCTCCTCTTGACCTGCATTTCCAGGTCCTGTCCTTTGCTCATTTTAATATAGAGCCTGAGACTGGGAGAGCATTGGCCAAAGAAGCAACAATTACTTCATTGCAAGGGCATGTATCCCAAGGAGAATTTTTTATGCATCACACCCATTTTACAGGTGGGGCAACTAAGACCATGTTGGGAGGAGTTAAGGTGAGTGGAAGTTGGGTTTCAAATCTTGGGCATATTCTGAAATTTGGGAATATGAATTTCTTGATCTCACCTCCCAGATAAGCTTAAAGCATGTTAAGAAAGTTGATTCTGGTCACTTATAAGAACAGGAATTGCTAGCTAAGTGTGATGACACACAATAATCTTAGTACTCAGGGAAGCTGAGGCAGGAAGATCACAAGTTTGAGCCCAGCTCAACATATAAAAGTTTTTTAAATGGGGCTGAGAATGTGCAAAGACCCTGAGTTCAATCTCACTGGAGAGAAAGAGAGAGTGGGGGAAAAGGGGGAGGAGAAGAGAAAG